TTAAGTGCATACATTCAAAGAAATGTATGCAATTCCCAAGGCTTCCATTGTCACAAAATAGTTAATACAAATAATTCAGGAAGGCAACTCTACAAAACACACACACACACAAACTGAGAAAGCTTTGTAGTTTTATCCTTCTCTATCCCAGAAGGACTATCTCAAAAGAAAGAGCAGATGTATAGAATAGTTTAATTTAGACACAGAGCATACTTTTAATATTAAATACACATATAAGCTTTTAACCCAGCAAGAGTTTATTCAGCCACAATAAAATATCCCATGATCACAGGACACTTCAAATATTAATATGCTCATTGAACTCACTGGGAATGTTTTTGAATAAGGATACATAGGAAATGTTCAACTAATAAAAGGTTGCTTTAGGACAGGTCTTTATAGAAACAAAGAGCTTCACATAATAGCTTTCATATGATTCCTTAGTGTATAACATTTGGTTGTGATTAAAAGTAGACTAATATTTTTTTTAAGATGTAAGTACTGTCCACATATGTCTGGACCAGATATGTACAAATGTGTTATAGAGCAGCTCCCATTATTTTTATATAATGGGAATTATAGTCCAATACCTCTGGAAAGTGCTAGGTGACGAGAAATAACTGCATTCATTGGTGAAAATGAATAAGTGAATAAGCATATAGCATAAGCCTAAATCTGTTTACTTAGAAGAAATCTTATTTTATTATTTTATTTACCATATTTATATCCCACCCTTCTCACCCAGATGAGAACTCAGAGCAGCTTTATACATAGGCAACAATTCAATGCCATAAAAACAACATACAATTAAAACAAACATTTACATTACAACAAAAAATTAAAGCATCTAAACATTACACCAGCTATTAAAACCATGCAATCCACTATCATAATCCGGAGCGACTCCAGTAGTCATTGCACATATTCTGTATCAATTTATTGCATTACAATTATTATCTGAAGGCTTGGCCCCAAAGCCACATCTTCATTTTCTTTCTGAAGGCCAGGGGGGAGGGGGCTGATCTAATATCACTGGGGAGGGAGTTCCACAGCCGAGGGGCCACCACTGAGAATGCCCTGTCTCTCGTCCCTACCAGTCGTGCTTGTGAAGAAGGCGGTACCGAGAACAGGGCCTCCCCAGAAGATTTTAATCTCCATTATGGTTCATAGAGAGAGATATGTTTGGACAGGAAAACTGGGCCAGAAGCGTTAGGGGTTTATTGGGTAAAGCCAGCACTTTGAATTGTGCTCTGTAGCAGACTAGCAGCCAGTGGAGCTGATGTAACAGGGGGGTTGTGTACTCTCCGTATGCTGCTCTAGTGAGGAATCTGGCTGTGGCCCATAGAACCACTTGAAGCTTCCAAACAGTCTTCAAGGGGAACCTCACATAGAGCGCATTGCAGTAGTCTAGTTGGGATGTGACAAGAGCATGGACCACCATGGCCAAGTCTGGATTCTCAAGGTACGGGTGCAGCTGGTGCACAAGTTTTAATTGTTCAAATGCTGCCCTGGCCACCCCCAAGACCTGGGGTTCCAGGCTCAGCTATGAATGCAAGAGAAATCCCAGGCTGTGAAACTGTGTCTTGCAAAAATCAACATGGTTACTTAAAGATGCTCAGAATCCTTATTGAGACAGTATTTCCAAAGAAATCAGTTGAACAAAGAAGTTATAAAAATTATCATGTGAGTTCATTCATTAATCTGCTTTTCATGAATTCAAGGAAAAATGTGATATCCGTTTTATCTGGCATAAACCTTTCAGATACGAGAAATTTTATTTCAAATCCATGTGAATTGTATATTGATGGTGGGATCTGGATTTTGTTGTCGCTGTATAGTATTTTAATGACCGAAGAGTGACGGGTCATAAGTTCAAATCCAGTGAGAGTATGGATGAGCTCCCTCTGTCAGCTCCAGCTCCCCATGTGGGGACATGAGAGAAGCCTCCCACAAGGATAATAAAACATCAAAACATCCGGGTGTCCCCTGCAGACAACATCCTTGCAGACGACCAATTTTCTCACACTAGAAGCAACTTGCAGTTTCACAAGTAGCTTCTGACATAAAAAAAAAGTTTTTTAAATTTAAAAAAAATATTTAATGGTTTATTGACACATAGAAGGGTTTTTTATTCTCATAATTTGTATCTACGCTGTTTTAATTTGCATTGTGTCATATTGATTAGTGGTGCCTTGAGTCCCTGTATCAAAAGAAAGGCGGGATAAAAATAAAGTAAATAAATCATTAAATAAAAATTCTTGCAAGAGATATTAGTCTTACTAATATCTCAAGAATCACTCCCAATGATTACCATCAAATTTCCCACTGAGTCCTCTTACATTAAGGGCAATAAATTGTGTGTAGCATCCCAACCCTGAGGTATTAGTGGCATGTGGATTTCTGCAGGGTAAATACTAGAATAAAATAGAAAAAGCAAGTGGGATATTACCTTTTTAAAGAAACAACAATGGCATGATAGCTTGATTAGATAGTGAGATGAGTCAAAATTAGAAACAAAGCCCTGCCTATTAGGAAGAACAAAAGCTTATGGAAGGAATGCGAAACCCATCTGCCATCACAAAGACAAGGGCAGCATGGAGTGTATCTACACCAGGCATGCGCCAACTTGGGCCCTCAGGTGTTTTGGAGTTCAACCCCCACCATTCCTAACAGCCTCAGGCCCTTTTCAAAAAGGAAGGGGCCTGAGGCAGTTAGGAATGGTGGGAGTTGAAATCCAAAACACCGGGAGGGCCCAAGTTGGCCCATGACTGGTCCAGAGCAACATTCTCTATATATTCCAAGCAAGCAGCATGGATTATGCAGACACTGACTGCTAGAAATGGGAAAGTAATCTCCTGTTGGGCTGTCAACTACTTCCTGTCTAATCCTACACATGCCTGGTGTAGACATATCTCTGCTTTCAGGGTCCTAGTATGACATACAACAACTTGCAAAGTAGATCTTGTAAAAATACAAATCCTGTGATTCTATAGCAGTGTGCCATGGCAGCTAAAAGTGCTGTCAAACGGCATTAAATCCAGTGTATATAGATGAACTCCTAGGACCTCATCACACTAGGAAATGAATACACTTTAAATCTGCCTCCTGGAGAATTCTGGGGTTTGTAGTTTAGGGAGACAGTTAAAGACTACTCCCTAAAGGCTATTCCCTAAACTACAAACTCCAGAATTCTGCAGGAGGCAGCAACTAGATTTTAAATGGATTCATTCTCTAGTGCAGTGTTTCTCAACCTGGGGGTTGGGACCCTTGGCGGGGGGGGGGGGTCGTGTGAAGCTGTCAGAGGGGTCACCAAAGACAATTGGAAAACACAGCATTTCTGTTGGTCATGTGGGTTCTGTGTAGGAAGATTGGCCCAATTCTATTATTGGTAGGGTTCAGAATGCTCTGATTGTAGGTGAACTATAAATCCCAGTGACTACAGCTCCCAAATGTCTTGGTCTATTTTTCCCAAACTCCACCAGCATTAACATTTAACCATATTAACTATTCATACCAAGTTTGGTCCAGATCCATCACTGTTTGAGTCCATGGTGCTCTCTGGATGTAGGTGAACTACAACTCCAGAACTCAAGGTCAATGCCCGCCAAACCCTTCCAGTATTTTCGGTTGGCCAGGGGAGTTCTGTGTGCCAAGATTGGTTCAATTCCATCATTGGTGGAGTTCAGAATGCTCTTTGATTGTAGGTTAACTATAAATCCCAGCAAATACAACTACCAAATGCCAAGGTCTATTTTCCCTTAACTCCACCAGTGCTCACATTTGGCCATATTGAGTATCTGTGCCAAGTTTGGTCCAAATCGATCATTGTTTGAGTCCACAGTGCCCTCTGGATGTAGGTGAACTACAACTCCAGAACTCAAAGTCAATGCCCACCAAACCCTTCCACTGTTTTTTGTTGGTCATGGGAGTTCTGTGTGCCAAGACTGGTCAAACCCTTCCAGTATTTTCTGTTGGACATATGAGTTCCCATCCCCATTTGGTTCAATTCCATCATTGGTGGAGTTCAGAATGTACTCTGATTGTAGGTGAACTATAAATCCCAGCAGCTACAACTCCCAATGTCAAGGTCTATTTTCCCCCAAACTCCACCAGTATTCACATTCGGCCATCTCCGTTTATGAACCCACGCGTTCACTTCGTTCATCCGGAGAGGCCCTGCTCGTGGTTTTGTATTGTTATGTTGTGTTTGAGGCCTTCGCCTTTGTAAGCCGCATCGAGTCCTTTGGGAGATGCTAGCGAGGTACAAATAAAGCTAATAATAATAATAATAATAATAATAATAATAATATTGAGTATTTGTGCCAAGCTTGGTTCAATTCCATTGTTTATGGAGTTCAGAATACACTTTGATTGTAGGAACTATAAATCCCAGCAACTACAACTACCAAATGACAAAAATCAATCCACCCTCAACCCCACCAGTATTCAAATTTGGGCGTATTGGGTATTTGTGCCAAATTTGGTCCAGTGAATGAAAAATACATGCTGCATATCGGACATTTACATTGCAATTCAGTAGAAGTAGTAACAGAAATAATGTTATGCTTGGGGGTCACCACAACATGAGGAACTGTATTAAGTGGTTGTGGCATTAGGAAGGTTGGGAATGTCTCGTGTGATGAGGTCCCTAGATTCTCAAAAAAAGGGAGTGATAGAGGGTGCCATTGGCTGCACCATTTCATCCACGGTCAGATGGAAGGTGCAAATCCCCCACTCAGGCTGGGATCCTAAAACAAATGAATGGGATTGCCCACAAAGAGAGGGTTTCCCCGCCCCTCCCTCGGCTTCTCCCACCTTGCAAAGGAGGAGGGGGGTCACGTGGGCCGCTGCAGCCAATGGCTGCAGAGAGGGCGGGCCCGCGGCGGGCAGGTTCCTCGCATTTATGGGCAGAGGATCCCCAGCCGGCTCATGCCTTGCCTTGCCTTGCGCGCTGTCCCCGCAGAGCCTGCCCTGCCTCCCTGCCTCCCTGTCAGCGGGCGATGGACGCCTCTGCTGCTGTTGCCGCCGTTGCCGCCGCCGCCGCCGCCCCGCTCCCGCCGCCCGCCAAGGGCCCCGCGGCCAAGAGGCAAGCGGTGAAGCGGCACTACCACAAGCACAACCTCCGGCGCCACTACGAGTTCCTCGAGACGCTGGGCAAAGGCACCTACGGGAAGGTGAAGAAGGCCAGGGAGCGCTCCGGGAAACTGGTAAGGAAGGCGGGAGGGAGGCAGGGAGGGCGGGCTAGGGCAGGACCCCGCCGCTCTGGTGTCTTGTTTAGGAGAGTTCTGTCCCGCTCCCCTCTCCTAACCAGAGACGTCCCACAGGGAATCTCGCAGCCTTCAGCATCTCCGCCCACAAGGAAAGAAATCCCCCCTCCATGCGGCACCAGCAGCCTCTGGGCAGTCTTGGAGCGCGCATCCCCTCCGCATCCGGATTGCAGCCCGAGAGAGAGAGAGAGGCAGGCTCAGGGTGCCTCTGCCCTGCACTGTCGGATGGATGCAGTTTGGCACCGCTTTGGCTGCCATGGCCCAGTGCTGAGGAATCCAGGCGAGGTGGGAGTTTGGAGAGGCACCAGCACGCTTTGGCAGAGAAGGCTAAAGACCTGGTGATCAGAAGAAGAATAAAAAAATTATATATGTAATATAACATACTATTTATTGTTATTATTAAGCATATATATATATATATATATATATATATATATATATATATATATATATTCCTCCACCAGATGTTCCTCCACCAGATAATAGAACAGTACCATAAATATATCTATCTATCTATCTATCTATCTATCTATCTATCTATCTATCTATCTATCTATAATTAGGTCTTTATTATTAGATGTGTGTTATTATTATTAGGAATATAACACTATTATTACAAGGTGTATATACATATAATACTTTTTATACACACACACTATCTCACCCCAAATTCCATAGCCCCAAAATAATAGAACAGTACTATTTATAGATAGATAGATAGCTATTAGGTCTTTATTGCATTACTATTATTAGGTGTGTATTGTTATTATTATTTGGACTTTATATAAAATTATATGTATATATAAGATGATTATTGCAGGATGCATATAATACATTTTATAGCATATTTATACACACACACACACACACACACTATATCTATATATCACCCCAAATTCCATAGCCCCAAAATAATAGAAGAGTACCATATGTGTGTGTGTGTGTGGTTTTTATTGCATTGCTGGTATTAGGTATGTATTATTATTATTAGGACTTTATATATATATATATATATATATATATATATATATATATATATAAGATTATTATTACAAGGTGTATATTATAGGATATTTATACACACACATTAATGTGTGTGTGTGTGTTTCACCCCAAATTCCATAGGCCCAAGATAATAGAACAATAATTAGGTCTTCCCCCTCCCTCTATATAATACATTTATATACACATTACTATTACTAGGTGTGTATTATTATTACATCTCTCTCTATATATAATTATTATTACAAGGTGTATATGTATATAATACATTTTATAGGATATTTACACACACACACATATATCTCACCCCAAATTCCACAGCCCCAAGACCTGGTAGTTCAAGTGGGGACCTTTATGAGGGCTCATAAGATGGTGTCGGGAAAGATACCTGTAGTGGATGTCTCGGATTTGCCCCTGAGTAACAAGAGCTTGCATGGTGTAAGGGCTAAGAGTGTTGGGACCCTGCTCAGCCATGGAAACCCCCTGAGTCACTCTCTGTCATGCTCAATACTATAAAATTAATGCTGTTGGAATCCAATCCCAACTCTTATGGCTCAATGTCAAGGGATCATGGGCATTGTAGTTCTACATCTGTTGGGGGTGGTTTGAATGCAATGTTCCTGCTTCTTGGTGGGGGGTTGGACTGGATGGCCCATGAGATCTTTTCCAACTCTATGATTCTATGAGTGCTGGTGCCTCACTACAACTCCCAGGTTTCCATGGCTTTGAGCCATGGCAGTTCAAATGGCATCCAACTGCACTGATTCTGCAAATGCAAAGAGGAAGGCAAAGGTCTACTGAACAGATCTTGCCAAGAAAACCCCACCATGGAAGCAGTGAGAATCGTGCATTATGGGGGTCTGTAGGAGGGAGGATCCCATTCACCATCCTTGCAGGGAAGGTTTTCAGGCGTAGGTGGGAAAGCAAAGGCATGGCTGACTGAAGAAATGACTTGCCTAAATACATGTTAATCATATTTAATGATACTGCAGAGTAATTGTTCCACCTCTCCGCAGGGAGGGAATCAAAAAAAGTGGTGCAAGAGGCTAATCTGCTGGCCAGAGCTGCCAAAGCATCCAGCACTGGTTGCATCTCTACTGTGGAATGAATGCAGTTGGTCACTGCTTTAGGGTTGTAGTTTGGTAAGGTACTAGAATATATTGTTAAACTACAACTCCCATGATTTTATACTATTGAGCTGTGGCAGTTAAGTGAGGCCCAATGGCATTAGTTCAACAGTGTAGAGCAGACATGTGCAAACTTGGGCCCTCCAGGTGTTTTGGACTTCAACTCCCACCATTCCTAACAGCCTCAGGCCCTTCCCTTTTCCCCCTCAGCCGCTTAAGCGGCTGAGGGGGGGGGGGGGAAGGAAAGGGCCTGGGGGCTGTTGGGAATGGTGGGAGTTGAAGTCCAATAGAGCCAAAGTTTGCCTATGCCTGGTGTAGAGACACCCTCTGGTCCTGGGTTCAATATTATAGGTTCTTCAGACATCAACCTCACTGTTTTCCTGGGGAAAGTGGGCCTTGTGTGCATGTTATCTGGTAACATTGGGGAGGAAAAGGCGTTATTTCTAATGAGAGATAGTGCTGAAAAGATAATAAAGGCTAGTTCAGGTCTCTGCACTGCAGGGAGCCTTGGCTCTGGATGCATTTATTTCTTCTGTATCTGCCAAAACTTGGAAACAAGGCTGCTTCACACTCACACAAGTGAGTGTGGTGATGCAAACTGCAGAGAGGCTGAAAAGTGATGTGATCTAAAGCAAAGTGAATGCTCAGACCTGGCTGGGATGGGGACAGGCCCGCGCAGGTTGAGGTGGCCTTGCCAAACTTCACCCGGCTTGCTGTGAATCATTCTGGCTGAGGAGGAAGAGTGGTGGGGATTAAAGATAATTAACTCAGAGCCAGACTGGTAAAACTTCTCAGCTTTCTTGCCAGGCTGACTTTCTCCCTTTGCTGATGGTGGCAAATTCAATGGCATGCATTTGGTTCCCCCCCCCCTCTTTAGGGCAGTGTTTCTCAACCTGCGGGGAGGGGAGGGGGGGTCATGAAGGGGTGTCAGAGGGGTTGCCAGATCATCAGAAAACACAGTATTTTCTGTTGGTCATGGGGGTTCTGTGTGGGAAGTTTGGCCCAATTCTATCATTGGTGGGGTTCACAGTGATCACTGATCGTAAGTGAACTATAAATCCCAGCAACTACAACTCCCAAATGTCAAGGTCTATTTTCCCCAAACTCCACCAGTGTTCACATTTGGGCCAAGTTTGGTCCACAGTGTTCTCTGGATGTAGTTGAACTACAACTCCAAAAGTCAAGGTCAATTCCCACCAAACCCTTCCAGTATTTTTACGGTACTTTTGTGTGCCAAGTTTGATTCAATTCCATCGTTGATGGAGTTTAGAATGCTCTTTGATTGCAAGTGAACTATAAATGCCAGCAACTACAATTCCCAAAGGACAAAATCAATTCCTCCTCCCCCCAACCCCATCAGCACTCAAATTTGGGCATATCGGGTATTTGTGCCAAATATGGTCCAGTGAATTAAAATAAATCCTGCATATCAGATATTTACATTCCATTTCGTAACAGTAGCAAAATTACAGTTATGAAGTAGCAACAAAAAAAATTATGGTTGAGGGTGAACTGTATTAAGGGGTCGTGGCATAAGGAAGGTTGAGAACCACTGCTTTAGGGTTTGCATTCATGGTAGCATGTTACCTTTTTAAAAAGAGAGTTCCCATGAACTACAGTATAAGGCCCCTTTCGGCAGATGTTCATTATTTATTTATTTACTTCACTTGTATACCTCTTTTCTCACCCCAGTGGGGGACACAAAGCAATTTCCAACATAATTATGGCAGAATTTAATGCTTCACATACAGAAACCTAACATAACGATAATAACATACAATTATCAATTAAATCATAAACCATGACATCATTTAACATTAAAACATGGAATTAAAAACATATCAATATAAGCTTCAAAATCACACAATTCAACAATCGTAGTCTCGTGTTTGCCTTCCTCTCCTTGAAATCTGAGGACAAAGCAAGCAGTCCTTTGCAGCTATATTTATTTCTCCCCGCTTTACCAGCCCCAACGCATTTACTCTTATTGATCTGGCATAAATTTCCTGTCCTGCCACTCCTTGCCTTTGTGGTTGACTTCACTTGAGGTGCAGGCAAGTCAGCTCACAAAAGGAGATTGCAGACAATCAGAATAGAACCAAAGTTCCCTTGCTATTCGGGGCAAATTAAATTTCCAGAAGACACTGGGGTGCCTCATCACAATTTCAATTTTCCTCCAGACTGCTAGCAGTGTTTCCTGGCTTTTGATATAATCCACCTTGAGGGAAGTGATTCGCTAGAGAAGCCTGCAGCATTATGGCAGTGATCTCTCCAAAAATCTACATAGGTGCCTACAGTATATGCAAGGTCTTGGCAAAGCATGCCTGTGTGGGAATAAATTACTTGTAGGCCTCATTGTCAGCTTGGCACATCTCTGCGCAATGTTGATGTGGGTGGTGGATAAACAGCTTCCAGTCATGCTGACTGAAGTGGCAGGTTTTGTTCCTTGTGAAAGGGGGAATTTGCATGTTGACTCGGCTATTCTTGCAGGGGAGAATAAACAGTATTGCAGTTGCATGTTTAGCTTTTCTCTGGGCAGTTTTCAGCCTCTACAAACTGTATACAAAAAATTGCAGGTAGCCAGGGCGTGTGACCCCACATCTATTTTTGTCCAGTTTAAGCTAATGGAAGTCTATATAACAGCTCCACATTCTGTTTTTTTAAGACTGTTACAAATAAATGCAGGGAGCTCAATCCTGCCTTGCCCTGTTACATTCTTCAAACCATTCCAGATGACTTCTGTTCTTCGCCTTAACATTCAGCTGGTTGTGGAATGCTGTTAAGCTGAGAAGCTTACGTACTTTTCATCCT